GAACAGTTGAACTACTCTATCCTTTTCTTCGTTTCAATTTACTTGTATATCTCTATTTACTAATTGCCGATCCAACGTTACCAGTCCGACACTGGACTTTGCTTTCCTTTGTGAACCTGGAACCCTTCTTTAAACTGTTGTAGACCATCTTAGGCTGGACGTTTTATTTCCTCTAGACTGCCATTATTTTCTGCATGCTCTATTGCCGCCACTAGTGATCTTTTCTCTTTTTAATTTTTGGTTGTTAATTGTATCTACTAATTTTTTCTTTTTTTAAATTCCACTTTTCATTCGTTTCTAAACTTCGAAGAGATTATGTTCTTATGTGGTAATCTTGAAAGAAATTAAACAAAATACAGTATCCACGTGCCTAGACTATTTTTGCCTTTCACAGCTCGAAATGTCTAAAACATCAGGTCTCACATTATACGAACACATGTGTCGGCTGAAATCATTTGTTCTATCCAGAGGTTATATATTTAGACTAATTATGCGATTGTGTAACCAAAAATAAGGTAAATAGGGCAGATAAAAAGATAAATGGATTTGGGACGTCAAATCGCTGATCCCATGGAAAAATGGCGGTAGTACGTCCAAAAAATGCAAAATGGAACATATACACCTCACGAAATTCTGTTTTCAAAATTATATAATAAATGTGCGCCCTTGAACTGTCGCGATGATCTACATGCGAGACGACGAATATTTGGCCCTGCATTTTTAAGAGCGAGAGAGTACGAGAACGCCGTAGAGCATAATTCAAAATACTTGGAGATTCTCTAAAATTTATTGCGATAGAACGCCGTTTTTAAAATGAAGTCATCTTAATGCATTTTGTGACGTAATGTATATAAACACGGGTATTTTTAGAATACACATTTACTACCACTTTTCATTGCTAAACGCCAACGTAATTTTTTCACAGTTTATGGAACCCTCCGGATAAATTTATTGTGGACATTCTTCCAATAGATTGACTACGAGTTGCAAGACGCTTTGAGTTAATAATTGCTAAAATCTATTAATTTTGTTTTAAAATTAGTTGCCAGACGTCACGTGTCGTTGTCTGCCCGGGTTTGTGCTATTTTGGTAGAACTTGGAACGTCGCGTAGTCGGTAGATTGTGGTTTTGTATTTACCATACTGATACTTGAGGATCCCCTCCGATGACGTTTGGCGCATTCTACTCACTGTCGAAATATTATATATATAGTTGCAGTCTATTTCAAAACTAGGAACAACAAATTTTCTGCTGCTAAACGTACCATTAGCTTTGTACAAATATTTTGAATCAGTTTAAAATTTCCCTTGAAGTTGTTAAGCTGCAGGTGGTTGACATGTCTGTCTATAAAGCGTGCATCATATTTGAAAGATATTGGCTCTGTGATGAAAAGAAAATAAATCTGAAGTCAAATCATTTCCAACATTAACCTTTTTAAATACTGGCGCTTAAAATAAATTGCGCTTTGTGTTCCAATTCCAACATCTACACACAAATATGGATCGTATTTGCAACTCTTAGAGCATATTTAGAACGTTGCGCTGCTTTTGAAAAAAACTCTTTGATATGATCAGGTTCGTCGAAAGACATCATATGGAAAATTTCAACAATAACGAAATGTTTTGTCTTTCACAAAAAGAAAAGTATTTCAGTACGTCCACCCCTCTACCATCAATTTGAAATCCGAAGGGGTTTGGGAATCAGGGATGCAATCGCAGTAGTAAAAACAATCGGAGAACGAGGAAGAACTGTAAGTCAGTGCCTAATAGATGGAAAAGGCATTCGATTGTATGAAACACTATGTGTCTCAATGGTGGAGCGGTGGGCTACATAGCCAGAAGGGCGGGTGTTCGAACCTAGGCTGAAGTAAGAATTTTTCATCTGTGGCAGAGATGGGAATTTCCTTAGATCAGTTTCGAACACTCGTAACGGCTACTCTGAATTAGGTTTTTCTGCAGTTTTCCTAATTCGTAAGGTAAATGCCGGAGTAGTATAGAACAACAACTTAAGACCTTCTGCAGAGGCACCTCTAAAAAGCATTATGCGGGTAACTCTGTAATTGGGTGAGGTATTGACATTAAACGAATAAGAATTAGAAAGAGTGTGAATATTCGAGAGGTGAAACAGGTTGTTAAAAGTAAAATGGAGGGATAAGGTGAGACATTAGGAAGTATTAAGAAGAGAAGGAGAAGAAAGACAACTGTTAAGCAATATTAGACAGAGAAGAGAAACTGGGAGGGCCACGTGTTGAGGGGTAATGGAATGTGTAACGTTTACCGGGTTCTGGCTGCGGGTAACTCTAGCCGGCTAACCAAACTGGTATAGTTTTAGACTATTTAATTAAACAAAAGTATTATACTTAAAATTAGGCAACATATGAAATTCCCGTGATAAGCGTTGGCGGAGACACTGCCAAGGTTCACGGTGTAATGGCCAGTTGCACCGTCATTATTAAGCCTTGATTAAAGTTAAGTCGAACTTAAGATCTATGGCAACGATTGCTAAGACAATATGGTTGCTATGGCGTTTAAGTTATCCTTAACTTTAAGCGATACTTAATTTTGACGATGCAATTGCCCATTATTCTGTGAGCTGTATCGTAAACCTTGGTAGTGTCTCTGTCAACGCTTATCACGGGAATTGATGCATCAGCAACTGTCAAAAGCTGGAATAGAAACGGCTGTCAGTTGAATAAATGGTCTCTCGTGTTTTATTTATTCTCCCTGGTTCTGGTGGTGATGTTAATGCAAGTACGACGAGGGTTGGCTGTAGGATCGTCTCAATTAATTGGCTGCAATTCAATTGATTATATAGAACGGAGTAATCATGTTCCAGTCATATCTATCGATCTAATGCAGGAACCTGATAAATCGCTGCAATGTTCGGTAACGGAAGTCGGCAGGCTATACCCTAGAGCTAGACGAATTGTCGTTAATGCTATCGCAGGCAAGCAAGATGGCAACAGTATGAAACTAAATACAAAATTTACAGATCGACTTCTTGTCGTTAATCTGGGATATAATAATGATCCGGTCTGGAATATGGTTTTGGTCGGGCACTAATCTGGCAAAGTCTCAGGAAGAGTCTGGGAAGACTGTTGAATTACAAAATCCCGCTTTTATAGGGACAAGGAGTGGCACAAAACAAGTGGGGAAATAAGAAGAGGTTTTTAATTTCAAAGGATGGGGTAACCAGCGATCAAGAAAAGATTGACGTCGAGTCGCCTTTGGAAGTTTAAGTTAAATGTGATTTCCTACGAGTAAAAAATAAGAGAGAACCTTGCGTTAAAAGGGCACGCGTCATCATTGGCAGTGGCGTATTAAAACAAGACTGACATCGGCTCTTCTGTTTGATGATAAGTCAAATCGACATAACTGACGAGCGCAAAGGAAGTAATATGATGGCGACTTCCGTCGTGTGCTATGCTATTCCCCACCACCGTTATATTCTCTCCTCTTAATTTTTACTCGTGGGTGATTTCCCATGTAAAAAAATTCCAAAGGTAACGTAACAGCAACTCTTTTTTGATCGCATAGTACGTGGACTGCTATTAGCTCTATCCTTTCAATACAAAATGAGTGGTCGCGAATAGAGGGCACTGTGGTCGTGAGTACAGTGACTCAATTCAATTCTCACATACCCAAGCGATATCCTTGGCCATATTTTATTTGCAATTAACAGCCCATGTACTGTATGAGAACAGCAGGAGACATCTAACGGATGAATTTTACAACAGATAATACAGGATGTTTACAAATAAAATTTTGACGTTACCACTTTATATTTTCTTACAAATGTTGAGACTCTACCGGAGGGAGCGGTAGAGACGGACGATGGAGGTCAGCGAGGAAGAAAAAAAGGAAATGGTTTGATAATTTGATAAAGAGAACAGCCTATGTGGCGATCCAGAGAGAGGGAGACAATGGAGCGGGAGTTGTGGAGGAGGGATGTCACCTAAGAACTTGCAAACTGGCAGGTAACTACTGTATGTTAGTTACCATACTGTAAGGGTTCTTCGAGAAGCACGCGGGTGTAGCTCCAGTCCAAAATTCTAAAAAAAATGTCTTAACACAGCGGTCTTCCAGTGATACAACAACCGAGATTCAACAAAGCTTATATAATGCTGGACGCGAAGGATGGATAAGCCACTCCAAAGAACAATGAATAAAAATACAAACTAAAAGTGAAATAAGACTATAACTCTCGCCAGGAAAGATTGCCGGTCACAGCACACCTAGTGTCGATTTACAAACTATGTTTTTCTTAAGATGCGAGCGACTTCCGGAATAGGATCGTGCCAATGTTGAACGAAAAGTCTTTTTGTTCAACATTGACACAATACTATCCCGGAAGTCGCTCACATCTTTAGAAAAATATAGATTGTAGACCGGGATCAAGTGTTCTATGACCGGCAATCTTTCCTGGCGAGAGGTTTACAAGATAACGATCATACACGTATAATATTCAATTGCATAAAACAATAAATAAATTTGCAATTCGGATCAAGGTTACATTGAATTAAATGGGAATTCTTAGGACAGTTGTTATTTACAAACTATAACCTAACTGTTACCCCGCGTTAACGTTAACGACAAAGGCAAAAGACAAATGACAAGAAACTCTACAGTGAATTATACTTCCGTAACTTCTGCACTCAGGTAAGCAGCTGTAGAGCAATACGTCACGACCATGGCAAAGATGAACTAACGACAAGGGCACTTTACAGGTTGCCTGCAAGTTTGAAGCTCCTGTATTTTAGATAATCATTTGAGTAGCAGTTCTTCGATCTTAGGAACCATGTATTAGGTCAGCTAACCGATACCGATAACAAACTTCAATTCGAAAATGATGTTGGTATTTCATGCAGAACAACGGTACTTCTTTAATACCACCACCCCAATGCTCGTTACGTACACAAAAGATACATATAAAAGACTACAATACCAACATCAGAGTAAAATCAAATTAATTCAAACTTACGTATATATATATAATCAAAGAAACCTTTTACCCTAAGGTGTAAGGTACATAATTTTAATTTACATTTCAATTTCGTGTACAAATTTTGTCCATTGTTTCTTATCTCTTGCCAGTTTTCTCGCTTCTGCCCACGTTCTTCCTTTTCTTTTCAGTATTGCGGCCACTTCATCGTTCCACGTTTTTTTGGGTCGTCCTCTTGTTCTTTTCTTTTGCACGCCTGATTCCCATATCCTTTTAACTTGTCTGTCGTTGTCCATTCTGCATATATGCCCAAACCACTTCAGTTTTTGTTTCTCTGTCATGTCAATAATTGACTCAATTTCCAGTTCTTCTCGCACCGCCTCATTTCTTATTCTGTCCATTCTGGTGATTCCTTTAACTCTTCTTAAGTATTTCATGTCGGTGGCCTGTATTTTACTTTTCATAGTATTCGTCAGCACCCAGCTCTCACTTCCGTATGTTAGGATTGGTCTAAATACCGTTTTGTATACTGTCATTTTTGTTTTTGTACTAATTTCCTTTCTGCCTATAAACGCCGTGTTTAGGCTGTGGTATAATCTTGTTGCCTTACCAATTCTCTCGTTAATTTCCATTTCCATATTTCCCTCTCTGTCTATCAATACCCCTAAATACTTGAATGCTTCGACTTGTTCTATCTTGTTTTGATTTATTACTATGTTAGTGTTCTTGTTCTCCTTACTTATCACCATTACTTTTGTTTTATTCGTGTTTATTATCATGTTTCTCTTTGTTAATTCTTCTTCCCATATCCGTAGGTTATCTTGCAGGTCCTTCTCCTTTGCTGCACAAATCATTACGTCGTCCGCAAAGGCACATTCTGACACGTTCACGGGTATTAGCTTGTTGGTACCGATATGCACCTTTTTGGTTCTGGTTGCTGTTGCTTTGATGATATCGTCCATTATCAGTAGAAACAGTATTGGGCTCAGGACCCCTCCTTGCCTTAAACCTTCGCTTATTTCAAATGTTGTCGATTGTCTATTATTCTTCCTCACATAACTTTTGTTATTTTCGTATAACCCCTTTATTCCTTCTATTAACTTTGCACTCACCTTCCTTTGCGTTAGACTTTTCCATATTACGCTTCGCGGTACTCTATCGAATGCTTTTTCAAGGTCCAGAAAGGCCATGTAAATTTCAGAATTTTGCATTTTGCTTTTCTCTATCATTTGTTTGATGCTGAAGATATGATCCTGTACGCTCCTTCCTTTCCTGAAGCCACTCTGAGTGTCTGCCAGCTGCTCTTCTATTTGGGTTCTTAGTCTTGCCTCCATTATGTGTTCATATACCTTTGATACCACACTTAGTATTGTAATGCCCCTATAATTACTGCAGTCTCTACTGTCGCCCTTCTTGAATAACGGTATTATTATTCCCAACTTCCAGTCTTCTGGTACTTTTCCCGTAGTCCATGCCTTGTTGAAGATTTTTGTTAGCATTTCTGTCCCTCGCGCCCCTAGGTTTTTCAGCATCTCTGCATTTATCTTGTCGTGGCCAGCTGATTTCCCTTTTTTTATATACTTTATCGTTTTCCTCAGTTCTTCCATTTGTATATTACTGTCCTCTTCGCTTTCTGTATAGCTGATTTCTTCCTCGGTTAGAAAATTGGCTTGTGTGTCTAGGTTGAGCAGTTCTTCAAAGTATTCCTTCCATCTTTCTATGATTGCTTTCTCTTCTGTTAATACACTGTCATCTTTTGCTTTCACGTACTTCAATGTGTGGTGTTTATCTTTCCTTAAGTTTTTTAGCACTTTATAAAATAGTTTTTGGTTTGTTTTGCTATCTGTCTCTATTTTTCTTCCGAACTCTTCCCATGTTTGCTGTTTGGATTGTAGTACCATTGCTTTTACTTTTATTCGCTGTTGCTTGTATACTTGGTAGCTGGCTTCCGATTTCATACTTAGGTATAGTTTCCATTTTTCTTTCTTGATTTTTACTTGTTCTTTTAATTCTTGATTCCACCATTTCGTTTGTTTTTTGTTTTTATTTATGCCTATTACACCACACGTTTCTTTCGCTGTTGATATTACGCTTTCTTTGAAGAGTAGCCATAGTTGCTCCAAATTCATGGTTTCCCATTGTGCTGAATCTTTTTCTGCCTTTTTTTCTATTTCTTCTGTAAATTTAATAAATATTTCCGGTTCTTGTAATTTATATGTCCTAATGGCTTCGTTAACTTTTGTCAGGTGTGTTTTTTCCACGCAATTTGTTTGCATTTCTGTATCTAAACGACTCTTTGCAACTACTAAGTAGTGGTCGCTGTAAATTTCTGGTCCCCTTTTTACTTTGACGTCTATAATTTCTTTTCTGTATTCTCTATTAATAAGAATATAATCTATTATGGATTTTTCGTTTCTGCTCTCAACTTCTCTCGTAAACTTGTGTATCTCTTTGTGTTTGTAGAATGTGTTTGTTATTATTAGGTTGTTGTCTACACAAAAGTTTATTAATCTCACTCCGTTATTGTTTTTATGATCTTCCCCTTGGTTTCCGATTACGTCTGCTCCCTCATTTTTCCTTTTTCCGACTCGTCCGTTAAAATCTCCTAGTATTATTAATCTGCCGCTTATACTTTCTGTGATTGCTGTCAAATCTTCCCAGAATTTGTCTTTTTTGCTAGCTATTTCGTCCTCGCTAGGGCCGTAGGTTATAACCAGGGTGATTGTGTTTTGTTGGTTTTGTTGTAGTTCCACTTTTAGAACCTTCCCTGATATAAATTCCCATTTCTTCAAACATTTTACATGTTCTTTTCTTATTATACAGCCCACTCCTTCTGCTGCTCTTACTTCCGGTTTTACTCCACTGTATAGTAGTGTGTGTCCTCTTTCGAGCTGTATTATTCCTTGGCCTTTCTTCTTTGTTTCTGTAATTGCTAAGAAATCTAGTTTTGCGTTTTCAAATTCTTCTACCAGTTCGTGCTCTTTGCCGTTCAAGCTTCTAATGTTCCAAGTGCCTATTCTTAAAGTTGTTCCACCCTTCTCTCTACTGTGCTTACTTTTGCTATTTCTTTTGTGCATGTCCATTTTCGTTGCGGTTTTCGTCATCTCGTGTCCAGTCCATCTCTTAATCAGTTTTTTGGGTTGCCTACTGGATTTCCATTACTTGCCACTTCCTCTACTGCATTCTTTCTTCTATTCCACCTCCATTCCCTTCCTTCTATGGTGATCTTCTGGTATCCAATTTTGACAGTTTTTCCTAGTTTCCTTTCTTCTTCCGCTCTTTTCCTGATTTGCTATGATTGTTGATTTGATTGTCTATGTCTCTTTCTTTTCTTGTTAGGTCGTTATTTATGAATACCTTCTCCTCTCCCATATTTCTTAGCTTCATCTTATTTTGCAATATCTTTATTTTATCCTCAAAGGTCTCTAGTTGTATTAAACAAAGTTTTGGTCCTATTTTAAAGGCTGTTTTAATGTTCACCCCCACTCCCAATTCTTGTTGTATGAAGTTTCCTATGTCTTCTTTTAGGGACGATGGATCGTTATCTAGTTCTAATCCTGATACTACAACGTTATTTCTCCTCCTCTCTCTTTCAAGTCGTTCTAGTCTCTTGTTGGTCTCGTCTAACTGTTCTTTCATCTCTTTGAATTCCTTTTTAATGCTGTTGTTTTCCTTCCTTATCATCTCATTTTCCTCCTTTAACTTCTTTAACTCCTTGTTGTATTCTCGTTGATCTGTACGGATTTGGTTTACCTCTATTGACAGATTTTGCAGTATGCCTAGAATTTGGTCAATTTTTGCATTTTCCTTTTGTTCCATTTTTTCTGGTGATCTGTGGATTTTCTTTTTATCTGGGGAACTGGTTTCTTTCCTACTTATTGATGAATCCTCACTCCCTTCTTCTTCATCCTTCGACCGCTTTCTTTTGCCCTCGTCTGTTGACGAATCTTCGTTATCGTATTTCGTTGGCGTTCGCGGCAACGGCATTTTAAATTCTTCACGCTCTACGCTTCTCCTGTATTTCTTACGTCCCGCACTAACCTGTCTCTTTGTTGCTAATCGTTTCGTCTTTACCCTGCACTCGAGTTTTGACTGCGCTTTCACCAGGGCTCCACTTTATTTGTTTACCTACTGTAGTTATCTACTTGTGCCCTCCCTTTAACCTTTGAGTCTTTTTAGTTTATCCGCTTTTACCTATACGTAAATATTCGCACCCGTTTTAGTCCCTTGATAAAGTTCTGGTTTTACCTTCTCACTAGATAAAGGATGTACAATCTTCTGTATTTGTCTCTAACGACGATTACGCGCGCTTATCGCCCGGGTCGACCCCTCGGAGGCGATAGCGCCAGCACTGCACATGCACAATCGCTCGAGCAGTTTATTCACTTTCGCCGTCCTTTAATTAAGTTTATTGCGCTTATTTCCTATTTACTAACCTTATAATTGTAGGTAGAGCTGCCTGCCTTTGGTATGGACCCTCTGTACACTTTTCACCAATTTTTACACAATGTTACACTATTAAATTCCGTAAAACTTCACTGCGTGACGGAGCCGATGTTTCGTTACTCGCGTCGCCGCACACGTAGCACACACACAAGGGCACTTTACAGGTTGCCTGCAAGTTTGAAGCTCCTGTATTTTAGATAATCATTTGAGTAGCAGTTCTTCGATCTTAGGAACCATGTATTAGGTCAGCTAACCGATACCGATAACAAACTTCAATTCGAAAATGATGTTGGTATTTCATGCAGAACAACGGTACTTCTTTAATACCACCACCCCAATGCTCGTTACGTACACAAAAGATACATATAAAAGACTACAATACCAACATCAGAGTACAATCAAATTAATTCAAACTTACGTACCGCATTAATAAATGGGTTTCGGATTGCGATATAAGTAAAAGAACCTAAATAACAGAGACGTTGTAACCAGGAATCCGATGAAAATAACGTTATCTCGAAAAGATATCAGGATGTCATTCGCGGAAATACGTTTAGATAAATAATTTAGACAATTTTTGATAACTCGATGGCATTGGGTTTTCCACTTCAGATTTAAGCAACTTTCGCAAAGTACCTCTCTTGCGTTAATTAATTTAATTTTGCTTCTAACATAATTTTATTTACAAGGTTTAGTATGTATGTATGAGTAAACTAGGGGGAAACGCACCATACACAGAAGTTTCAAAATATACAAGGGTTTAAACGATACCTCAACGCGGTACGACGTACATATTATATACTAATTAACTATGATGATTCTATTTTTATTAGAAGCACTTTTGGGAATACAAATGTACATGTTAATCGTCCCTTTCACGCCACGCAGTTTCAGATTTTATAGTTTTTCGCGTCCGATACTGATATTTCAAGTAGATTTTGTTCCTTTTCTGGGAACTATAATTCTAATTTCGTTTATAGTTATGTAACCAATACGCAGAGCACTAATCAGTAAAAAATCTTGATCCGTATCGAAAATAAGCGTATACTACCATTCTAAAAATCGTTCTTTCATCTTTGGTATGAGTAGTAAAACTGAGCATATAAACTAAATGTGTATACATGTAGTATTCGTGTAGTAAAACCAAGCATAAAGATTAAATCTGTATATGTGTAGTAGCCCTAAATTACAATAATGATTTGGCAAGCGCTCAAGTATCTTCTTAGGTTAATTACAGAAAAAGTTAGGTTTCCATAAAGTATTTCATTTTTATATACAGTGTGGACCATGTATGATAGAAAAAGCAAAAACGATGCCAACGGAACTCGCACTTTACGTAAATAATAGACTAAAACTTCTACGGATGAGGCTCATCGAATTCATAATTGTTTCTCATTTCATCCATGTATCGTCGAGACCTTCTATTTTCCCCTTGTAAAATCCACGTTCGGCACTCAGTTTTAACCCTACTCACCAATACGCCATCCGTGCCAACGATACAGAGCGTGATCAAATTTCGGTATTTTTACCCAACACAATGGGAACGGCTACGCAAAATTTGTTATTTGAAGATATTACAAACAAGGAATCCGAACTCTAAAACGCTATTAAGCGTTTTCTAATTACAATCAAAGAATATCTTGGTTTGTAAATAAAAATAGAGTAATATTTAGTCCAAAAAACAAACATAATGTGCACATTACATGTATTTGTATAACTATCTACCTCATTGTATAACTTCCGTATGCTATTTTCAATTTCACTAGACTAGATATTTTATGCAGCACATTTTCAATATTGGTTGGCATCGTTACATAAAAGTTTTAATTGGCATTTGTCGACTACCGGATGTCTATAAAAGACAAAGTTGCAGGACAGTTTCACAAAGCGTAATTAAAAATATTGTTCAGAAGTGACTAATATTGAAGGAAAGTGAACTCCAAAAGTATCTTTGCATTTTTTTCAACATGCATAGCATATGTTTTGTGTCATGCTTGTATTCTTCTCTATTATTAGCAGTATACAAACCGTTTAATGTGCCAAGATTGCATTAAATACATTCAGACTAAAGCTAAACAATATAAAATTAAATTAGTGTAGCTACCTTGGCAAATTAGTAACAGCAATTCATGACGAAAATAATTCCTGTTTTTTGTTGTTAGAAGAAAATTCGAAATTACACATCACGTACGCAAACTATGAGCCAGGAAGGACTTTTGGGATGGGGACCTACACTGTCCGCTGCCATTCTTTGGCGATCAAGTTCCCGGTCCGCTCCTGAATTAATTCGTGAAGATCCTTTATTAGCCATTCTGATGCGTATTGTAGCAATTCGGCCTAGGCCCTACCCTGCCCTGGCATTTCCCCCTTTTTCAGTCTTCCTAATATCTCCTCCATTTCTTCCATCGTGGGGGTTGGCGGTAGTTGCCAGTAATCGCTCTCATCCGTTAGCTGGACCTGTTCTTCTTGTTGCTCCTTCTGGAGCTTCTATAATGCTGTCATTGGTACACATTTTTTGGTTCCCCCTCGTTTTCTTCTTCCGCTTCCCTTGGTGTGCTTATACATTTGTGCATTCCTCTCCTTTGGATTAATCTTGGCGATGTTCTCTGCAAACTCGGCGAATTCCTTGATTTTCTGTAATTCCAAGGCTCTGTTTCTCTCCTCTCTGGTCTCCCTTAGCACTTTCTTTGATTCAGGTTTGTGTGGGTTTTGCCTAAACCTCTTCAATGCTCTGCTGCGGTTGTCCATGGCTTTTGCTTCCTGTTTGATGCCATGGACGGTTTATGTCCCCCAAGTGTTTTCCTACATTTCATGCAATAAAAAAAATGGGTAGTTCCATTTAAAAAAATCAAGTTACCTTTCATTGAAATTTTGAAAATTGACGGAGTGATTTCTTTCAACCCAAAAGAAGTTTAACTTTAGCCGTTCGGTGTATGTTAATATATTTCATGTTTAGTACCACTGCAAAGTCACGGCCTTCTAGGTTTTATGATAAACTGCGATATTCAATTTTTATTGGACATCTACTTTTGAAAAAACGACGAATTGCGGCTAAACGATTCATTTTAGATATCATGTGTAATACAAAAAGTCACACTAAAATGGACCAAGGAATAGAAATATGTAATAATATACAGGGGGTTCCATTTAAAAACTGCGACTATGATATAAATCACCCTGTATAACAATTGCAATTTCGTTGAAAATATTTTTAGGTTGTAGTCTTAAGGGTCCTTCAACATTCCCCCACAATGAATTTTAAATATGCGCATTAATAAACCCATAATCTTCCACCCACACACTAATGGCCCACCCTGTATTTTGTTGAAACTTTATCAGATGCTTCTAGTAAAGCCCAACATATCGCATATAGTAAAGGCAAATATATCGCATATTCCAAAAATTAGGTGTGTGTATACGCAGGCTGCGCAATGCCAACTTAGTACACAATTCTTCGAAATTTGAACCATAGAGCTCCTAGTAAAGAAAAACATAACCCATACAGTAAAAATCAAATGTGAAACTGCACAATTCCAATTTCCTTACGTATATTGTTGTGTTTATTTCGTATGGCAGGATGAAATTTAATTAAGATGAACAAAGGCGGTCTCCTTTTTGTGTAATTAACATTTGTAAGTAAATGTTATTAATTTGTCGTTGGTCTATGTAACGGCACGGAGATTATATTCATACGAGACAGCGGTCAAGGTTGTTTTTGTTTACATTTTATTTAACGTAGAAATTTCTGGGAATTTTGTTTGGTCTTTATCCGTTATCAAATGTAAATGCTTAATTTAATTGACAGGTTGATGTGATTTATCGCGTTTTATGTGTAGTT